TTTGCATCTTCATCTCCATCTCCTCTGCATCTTCATCTCCTCTGCATCTCCATCTCCCCTGCATCTTCATCTCCTCTGCATCTCCATCTCCTCTGCATCTTCATCTCTATCTCCTCTGCATCTCCATCTCCCTCTGCATCTTCATCTCCTTTGCATCTTCATCTCCATCTCCTCTGCATCTTCATCTCCATCTCCTCTGCATCTCCATCTCCCTCTGCATCTTCATCTCCTTTGCATCTTCATCTCCATCTCCTCTGCATCTCCATCTCCTCTGCATCTTCATCTCCTCTGCATCTTCATCTCCATCTCCTCTGCATCTTCATCTCCATCTTCTTCTCCATCTTCATCTCCATCTCCTCTGCATCTCCATCTCCTTTGCATCTTCATCTCCATCTCCTTTGCATCTTCATCTCCATCTCCTCTGCATCTCCATCTCCTTTGCATCTTCATCTCCATCTCCTCTGCATCTCCATCTCCTTTGCATCTTCATCTCCATCTCCTCTGCATCTCCATCTCCTCTGCATCTTCATCTCCTCTGCATCTTCATCTCCATCTCCTCTGCATCTTCATCTCCATCTTCTTCTCCATCTTCATCTCCATCTCCTCTGCATCTCCATCTCCTTTGCATCTTCATCTCCATCTCCTTTGCATCTTCATCTCCATCTCCTCTGCATCTCCATCTCCTTTGCATCTTCATCTTCATATCCTCTGCATCTTCATCTCCATCTCCTCTGCATCTCCATCTCCTCTGCATCTCCATCTCCTCTGCATCTCCATCTCCATCTCCTCTGCATCTCCATCTCCTCTGCATCTCCATCTCCTCTGCATCTTCATCTCCATCTCCTCTGCATCTTCATCTCCATCTCCATCTCCTCTGCATCTTCATCTCCATCTCCATCTCCTCTGCATCTTCATCTCCATCTCCTCTGCATCTTCATTTCCTCTGCATCTCCATCTTTGTGAGCCTCTTCCTTCTTTCTGTTGGCTGAGTAGAAGTCAAATGAGAATGAACATTTAATTGTGTTAATTAGACCTATGTCAAATGCTTTTGCACTGCTAAACACTGGATGCTATAGTTATTTAACCCTCTGGGGACTAAGTCCTTTTTGGTCCGTTTTCTCTATTTTTACATTTGGGCTTATAAACCATATGTAATGGAGATGGATCACTATGTGTTTGGTATCTATGGATTCAGAAGACCCTAAGATAACATAAGCATGCATGTAATGTGTTTATAAAGGAAGTATGAGTGAAAAATGTACTATAAACTAGAGAATTTCAAAAACGGAAATTAGATTTTTCTCATTTATTTCTGAAAATCACACATCACACAAAAATAATGAACAGTTTTTGAACAAAAAATATATTTGTCAAAGCCTTTGCTTGACAGACATGTGTAATTGTTAAATAAAATGTGTAAAGAACAATGAAAAATGTAACTTTATTTACAAATAGTCCCAGGCGATTTTCTTAGGAATGCTTAGAATTTTCTAAGCATGCTTTCTCCTCGTCACTCTCCAGTAATTGTTCCAGAGCTTGTTCCACCGTAAATCGTTTACTGCTTGCCATCATAAAAGTGCTAAAACAATAAATAATGCTATAATTGTATGTATGTGTATATAAATATATATATATATTATAATTGTTCTGTCTCTCTCTCTCTCTCGTATAAATCTCTGATAATCCGCTCCGTAAGCCTCCGTTCGCTCTCTCTCCTTCTCTCCATTCAACGCTGTTTGCGTCATGTCCCTAACTATATAGTACCACCCCTTGCAAGGCTACAGAGTCCTCTGATTTGCTAGAAAGGCCATGGTAATGAAGGAATACAAATTTATTTAAATGTTTAATTTAGATTTATAGTATATAAACTGAGGAAGTTTATTAGTGTGAATTTTGTAACTAAGGTAAATGTCACAAACCTGCCTTTTCCTGTCTGTCTATTGCAAGTTAAATGCAAACCATTTGTCGTGGGGTTCCTGTCTCAGTGCGGGAAGCCCTGTGGAGCAGGTGTGAACACCTGCTATTTTATTATCCTGACTGTCCTGTCTCAATACGAGAAGGGACAGCCTTTCCTGTTCTCGTGTCTCACCGGGTGAGGACACATGCTGAGCAGGTTCCAAAGCCTGTATACCTCATTTACATGTATTGTTACAGAGTGTTTCCACCTCCATGTAACTCCTCCCCCTTGAAATGCCTATACGATACCATGTAAAGTTACTTTAGATTAGATTTGATTGAGATGCTACAGAGATGAAATAAAGAACGTATACCTCAACAATCTCCTGGTCTGAACTTTGACTTTTCTACACTTGAGAAGAAAATAAGTTTCCAACAGATGCCGCCGTGACCCGGATAGAATTAACTTCACCAGAATCCAGAACTGGACCTCAACAAAGATCTCAAAAAAGCGGACTGAGTTCCAGAACTGAATCTTGAAACTTCAAGCAACAAAGATTTCAACAAAGAATTCCAGAACTGAATCTTGAAACAAGTTCAACAAAGATCTCAACAAAGAAGAACTTTTCGGACTGAGTTCCAGAACTGAATCTCAAAAAAGAGCTCAACAAAGCTGACTGAGTTTCCAGACTGAATCTTTCTGAACAACAAACGATTTGGTGAGTTTCACTCTATTCAAAGAACCACTGAAGACCAGTACAAATTTTATTCCTCTGCGCCGTCAGAGAAAAGTTAACAGACTGCTGTAGAGTTTGGTTAACTAAAGTTACCCTTTAAAAGTTTTCTTTTAGAGATGAAGATCGATCCTCTGTTCAGGCAGGGAAGTTTTTAGCATTATGTGCTAATATTTTGGTTTTATCCTCTGAATAGTCAGGGAAGTTGTTTGTATCCTCTGATTCAATCAGGGAAGATTAGCGTAAAGTGCTAGTAATTTGTGTTACCCTTTGCTCTGCCAAGGAAGGTTAACAATAGTTTGATCTGTGTTAACAAGTGTACCCTCTGTTGATCAGAGAAGTTTTAGTGTTTGTTTGTTTAGCATCATGTGCTAATAAGATTGTACCCTCTGTTGTAGACAGTAGAGAGAAGTTTTTTTTTTTTTTTATTAAATTGGTAACAAAGAAATCCACAAAATGGTTAGGAAGAATGCTAGACTGATTCCAACAACTGAGAAACGTGGATTAGCAAGCCCTTTATGGACAGACAGTGAGTTCAAGTCATTGTTAGGAGAGAAAATGGACTCCATAGTGACTGAGTCAGTTAGATTGGATTTGACAAAGAAATTTGGTATTGATCCAGACAAAGTTTGGTCTATTGAAGAATGTAAGAAGGTGTTAGGTTCATGTATCAGAAAGAAAAACATGAAAGGCATAATCTGTTGCCATAGAGAATATAGCTTATCCATTGCACAAGAACAAGCTAGGTGTATTGATAAGTTAAATGAACAAAATAAACAATTGCACACTCAAGTGTCCTGTCTCAAGAAAAAGGTGGGCCACAACCAGGCCTCAACCAAATGTGACTCAGAAAACCAACAGTCAGATGAAACTTATCCTGATGTACAGTTTTTTTGATAGAATAGAGGACAATGTCAGTGCTGTATTGATGAAAGATGTAAATGCAGTTGAAGTGTGTGGAGCAAGACAAAAGGCTCAGAGTAGGGGAAAAGGGAGTGATCCAGTTCCATCAGCAACCCCCATAATGCAGCTACAAGCAGTCAAATTATCTTTAGCTCCTAAAGAAATATAGAGAATTGCTGAAAGTTTGCCATCAGTACATGGACATTTTTCTGAGTTTAGGAGAGAATTGTCCAGAAAGATGCGGCTCTATGATATGTCTCTAGCTGAAGTCACCCAGCTAATATCACAGATCTTGACTGAGTCAGAATTCAATGATTTTGAAAATGCTGTAAACAATTCTGAACTACAGCATGCCAGAAAAGATGAATTGAGAGAGGGAGTTCTGAGAGTGTTAAAGAACATTGTTGGACCAAAAGTGGACTGGTCAAAGATCACTAGTTGTGTACAGAAGAATTATGAAAATGTATGTGAGTACACAGAAAGATTTTGTCAGACAGCTGCAGCATACAGTGGGATTGTTGACACTTCAGAGAAGGTGCTAGAGGACAATGGTGCCCTCGTTCGCACATGGTATGATGGTCTTTTGTCAGAGCATAGAAATGCATTGCCTTTCTTAGACGTCACATGGGCTACCAGTACCCTGCAAAGTAACCTAGACAGGTTAGCTACTTGGGAAAGAGATTCTGATGTTAAAGAGAGAGTAAGAATTGCAGCAGTTTCCTTTAAGGTCAACGCAGAGAAGCAACAGAAACGCAAATGTCCTAAGAGAGAGGGCAGTTGTTCCTACTGTGGTAAGCCTGGACACTGGAGAAAAGAGTGTAGGAAAAGCAAAAAGAACTTTATTGAGGTTAATAATGTTGCTCAGCTACTACTCAATCTGCTTTCTACTTTGAAGCAGCCACTGCCCACGTCATTAAACGGGTGGGGCAACATGTTGAGGTGCTAACCATTTGTGCTGTGAGTGCTTAATTCTCCCCAGTAACTTGCAACAGAGATAAAAGACTTATTTTTGTTTAATAGAACAAAAGGAAAGTGACTGTCTCAGCTTTCCTTTGTGGGGACAATGGTTAAGTAGACTCACAGCTTTAAATGTTGTCTACAGCACAGGCCCTTCAGTAGTAATGAGCTGGGTCAGGCTGTAAACTTAAAATGGCCTCAATGTATTAACTGCAATAATGAATCAAGCAAAAGTAATTTTTGTCACCATTCTCATGTATGATGTCTCTACAATGACTGAAGTTTTGTTAGAGGATTAAGGAGAAATGACTCACAATTGTGTTACGCAGATAAAGGTACACACTTCACAGGACAGGTAGTCAAGGAAGTGTCTAGAATATTGCAAGACATTAGAGCCTAAATAGCACGGACCACATCAAGTGATGTAAATTAAAGTAGTGGCAGTTGTGTTAGGGAAGATAAACCCGGACTCATTGTGTCACACTGTAAAAGTTGTTCCCCCTCCCACAGGGAAATGACAGGACACGGAACAGTGAGGAGCCCAGGGAAGAACCGATTGCAACAGGCATCGGGGGCCAACCCCTGCGGTGAAGACTACCTCATAGGCCTTCCCCCTCCATAGTCCACCCTACCTCACTGCTTCTATTTAGGTGTCAAACAAATTAAGAAATAGGGAAAGAAGGAACAACAACAGCAGACTCAGAAAAGGATACAGCCGTAGTGTTTTAAACAAATACTGCGACAACCCTAGTGTTTGAACAAATACTGCTCTGTCTTTTGTTTTCTCTCTTCCTCTGTGCAGGTAACACTGGATGGCTGTCCTGAGACCCATACGCACCGACCTCCTGCATATGAAGCCACAACCTTCCAGAAAACAGCTAGAACCAATGACGAGCCAACTATCACAAAAGATAAAGAAAAGAAAAAATACACAACGCAGAGACCCACATACAGAACCTTCAGTCATCCATCAAAATGATCAAGATTTTACCATCATGGACATCGCACAAAGTGTAGACTCCAGAAACCACATATTCTTAGAGAGATGAATATGTCAAGAAACGCCTTGTTTGCTGGAAAGAACGTTGCAGGCCACACCAGAAGATGGCTGCATACCATGATTCACTTGTGTACAAACATGATGTTCCAAAAAGACATTCTTGATCTTTACAACAGATGACTGAAGATAAATTCTTCCGTAAAAATTTCTAATTTCACGGACCCTAATTGCATGTTTTGTTTCTGTGTCAACATGCAATTACAGAAAATCAACACAGAACAAGCTTGTGCCTGTAACTTACACAAGTTACAAGAATGAATTTTTAAGTGTTTAAATTTGTTTATAATGTGGGAGTTATTTTAGAACTCCCAAAGGGGGAATTGAAGGAATACAAATTTATTTAAATGTTTAATTTAGATTTATAGTATATAAACTGAGGAAGTTTATTAGTGTGAATTTTGTAACTAAGGTAAATGTCACAAACCTGCCTTTTCCTGTCTGTCTATTGCAAGTTAAATGCAAACCATTTGTCGTGGGGTTCCTGTCTCAGTGCGGGAAGCCCTGTGGAGCAGGTGTGAACACCTGCTATTTTATTATCCTGACTGTCCTGTCTCAATACGAGAAGGGACAGCCTTTCCTGATCTCGTGTCTCACCGGGTGAGGACACATGCTGAGCAGGTTCCAAAGCCTGTATACCTCATTTACATGTATTGTTACAGAGTGTTTCCACCTCCATGTAACTCCTCCCCCTTGAAATGCCTATAAGATACCATGTAAAGTTACTTTAGATTAGATTTGATTGAGATGCTACAGAGATGAAATAAAGAACGTATACCTCAACAATCTCCTGGTCTGAACTTTGACTTTTCTACACTTGAGAAGAAAATAAGTTTCCAACAGTAACCTTCCTCTGATTGGGTAAGAAAAATATTTCTCCATCGGCAATTTTTCAATTGGTTGTTGTTCGCGGAATCTGCCAAACAACATCGATTTCATTGGCCTTTTACATAGTGGTATTGCGCAACAAGGAAGTGTGTATATTTACAAAGCCGGGTATCACTGTTTTCAGCGGAATCTGAGGAAGACGGTAAAAAAGACCGCAGCTCTCTTTCATTAATAGTTTTTAAGATAATTACACATTTGTAAAAGTATGCCATTTTGGGCGGTACCGCCCAATCCGTCCCCAGAGGGTTAATATGTCAAATGTTTGTAAAGTCAGGTACCCTACATCCATGATATGCTCAAGCCTTACCTGATTGAATTATGTTTTTATATTTCATTTTCAGCTGCTGCCATGTTCTTTTAATGCCTGCAGGATTGCACCTACATGAAAATTAAAATTAGGTTGAATAGCATACTGTTCTTCCAGTTTCACCTCTGATATTATAACAGTTGGGTAAGTTACTCTAAAATAGTTATTAATCACTAACTACAAATGACATCTTCAACAGTGTAATTAGATTAATGTAATAATTACTATCTCTACAAAGTATTGGTCTACTCATTACTAATTACTTTCTAAATCCCATATCGACCTCAACCACTTGAACAATACAAAAAGAGACAATAAACTGCACTTTTAATGCTTTCAAATTAACAATATACAATTGCATGAATTGTTCTTGAATTGACCAAAGTGTGTAGAGAGAGAGGTTACATTAAAAATATACCTTTTAAAAATGTTATGTTAAATCCACATAACTGTATATTGTTTTATACAGAATTGTTCTATAGTCTATGCATGCAGTTGTTTAATGCAATGACATCATATTTACTTTATATTACAGAAGAATTAAGAGTAATCCCTTTAACTAAATTACAGTATTTAGATTACTTGGTAATTACACCCAACACTGTATAACAGTAAATAAAATGTAAACTTACGCATTGACTTTTTTTTTCCAAACTAACTCTCTCGATCGCCGCTGCTGCCGTGTTGCTTAATTATTTTTTATTTTTTTTGCGTACTGGTGAGAAATATGCAGACCTCTTTTTGTCTGGTGCTGTTACCATGGAGACTCATAATATCTGCGCTCCATTGATAATGGCTTTTTATAGTTGGTGTGCACGCGCTTAACTCAGAGTCAGTCAACTTAGAGTTGATTGAACTTACTCATTTCAGCTGTTCTGTAACCGAAAACTCAGAGTTTCCCCATCTCAGGGTAAGTCAACTCAGAGTTCAAGTTTTAACTCAGAGTTGGTTGAACCTCCTTATTGAAACGGGCCCCTGGAGTGCAGTAAACAAAACCCAGACATGCTTGCTAATTTCTTATTTTAGAATGTGTTTTTGTTTCATATTATTTTTGAATAATAATTTGCTGTACACACTTTTCCTAATCATTAAACATGAAATTTAAACTTACATTAAGGTGATGAAAAATATTCTATATAAATATAATATAATTGTTTATGTAAAAAGGGGATAGTTCACCCAAAGATTTTTTTTCTTTGGGTAAACTATCCCTTAATTAGGATACACATCATTAGGTTAATCAGCTGTGCCATATCCCACTCTGAAATGTTTAACCAATAATTAGGGATAACAATGTAATTTAGTGCAGTACCTGTGTGCTCATTTCTCATTATGGCTTTGATTATAAAAGGCATCCACAAAGTTAACAATTGTAGCAAGATGGAGAATGTGTTATTAACACTATCAGACTCCCAGGGAGCAATAACATTAACAGTAAGCAAAGAAATTGCTGAGACAATAAAGAATGGTGTGTAAAAAAAAAAAAAAAAAAAGATTGGTTGCTTGATGATGGAATTAATTTTATTTTATTTATTGAAATTCCTTTTTACAGATAAAAAATATGCAGCATATATAATGCAACAAGTAAGATCTGCAGCACAGAAACAAGGTAAGGCATTTTTTTTAACCATAAAAACATTTAAAATTATCTTTTTAAAATGGGATTTTTTATTTTTTTTTATTGTGTTCTCTTTGGCAGATACTACCCACTGTCCAGCATCTCTGTCTCAGTGTCCCCCTTGTAAGACTGGAAAACTGGTTGAAGAGACCTCACCACTGGTCTAGGAGACAAAGGACCTTGCTGCAAATTAACATTTGAACATCTCACACACACACACTTCTTCCGCGCATCCCCCCCCCCCCCCCCCCTCCTCTTGCAGAGATCTCCCAAACTCACACAAGAATCTACATGGTTTTAATTTGAACAACTATCATACAGTTTTATACATGTGTTTAGTATTAGTTGATATGTCTACAAGTGCGACTGGTACAAGTGTCCTATTTCCAAATAAGTAAAACAAAAGGTAATAAGGTTTTTAAGAGTTTAGAGATAACTAGCACACAAAGGAATGTGGTCTCTAGGCATATGGTCCTACCCCCAAAAGGTGTAAATTCATGAATGCAAATTACCACTGTTAGCAAATGGTCAACTTCTACCCCCAGTAAGTCTGGGGGGTGGGGTGAACAGTAAATTTCCACTGTGAACTCATGTTTACATATGAAATGAGGTCTGGTATATAATGAAATGCAGCGGAAGGATCAGGGCCTTTTCTGTATCTCAGATCAGCCCGTGAATGCTGAGTCGCCGAGACTCAGCATTCATGTATTTCATAATGTCGGGTAAAAGATTTTCCTCTTTGTTCTAGAACATTTGATGGTTTGCATTGATTATCTTTCAATTGATCATGAAATTGTAATAATACTGTCAGGGTTTGGTGTGGTTGAGGAATGACGAACAGGCAAAAGCTCCACTTTAAACAGTTTACTCCAATATATAAATCACAGGTAGAGACAGGCAGGCTGGAACACACACACACTAAACACATCTATGAACGACTAACAGGCAAGACTAACAAAGAACTTCTGGTAGGGTATGACTAACGATCGACCAGGACAGACTGAACAGGAAGGAACTAAATACAAGCACAAATGAACACTAACAAAGTGAAGACATGTGACACAGATGATAATGACGAGAAACAGGTGGCTAATGAGGAAGTGAGTTCAGGTGAGGAGACAAGCGGGATCCTGGGAAGTGTAATGATGACAAAGACAGAAGGTGCAGACGGTGACTGTGACAAATACATTTACCTGACATAATAAATTGTTATATTTGATTATTCTAACAGACTTTGACTTTATTTTCATAGAGTTAAAAGGAATAGTCAAACATTCACGTAGATGTAATGATGCACAGATATCATTGAAAAACCTTTTCATTTATGGAGTCAGATGAAATAACGAGTTAATACATAAGATAAAATGTATTGCATTTAACCCAAAATACTTTGCCTTGAGAAAAGACGGAACACGCGAGAGACCTTCACCGCTAATTTGAATGCCGCCATTGGATCGAATTAGACGGACTTACACCCTCAATGTCCAGCATCTCTGTCTTAGTTTCCCCCTCAACATCCAGCATCTCTGTCTTAGTTTCCCCCTCAACATCCAGCATCTCTGTCTCAGTGTCCCCCTCCTGTTACTACCCTGTCTCAGTGTCCCCCTCAACGTCCAGCATCTCTGTCTCAGTGTCCCCCTCAACGTCCAGCATCTCTGTCTCAGTGTCCCCCTCAACATCCAGCATCTCTGTCTCAGTTTCCCCCTCCTGTTACTACCCTG